TGGTTCATCNGGTTCATCATTTAGGGTTTTTCTTCGGGATAGGACTATTAGGATCACTCCTGACATCATTTCGAGTCTCATTCACATTCCTCGAGTCTTCCACTCCGTATTTCCTTACTTGACTCCTGATATACTTCCTTCGGACTTTTTAGTCCGATCCACGATGTTTAATACACCGGTGGAGGGGTGGTCCAAGTGTGATGCGCACTGGATCTTTACCCACTGACCGACAGATTTTACTACGCATTGTGTGCACTAATCTATGGCTAGTTTCTCATACTTTTTCATTGCCCATAGCTCGGTTCCTGTATGCCCTGCTGCATGGAGACTCTATTGATCTGCCTTCTTTTGTTTGCCAGCAGATCTTAAGGGCATTTAGGACCACGGGGACTCGGGTTGGGCTACCTTATGCTTCTCTCATCTATAGATTAGTTACAGTCTCAGGAGCTAGTTTTCCCGAGGGGGTTCCACGATAGGTTTCTTGCCTGATTAGCCATACTACTATCGGTCAGAGCATGTCACATGCCTCTTCTGAGACCGTACAGCCTCAGGATGATCCAATCGTACCCGCTGATCTGATCGATGACCTGATCTCTTTTGATCCTTCGGATTTTCCTTCCTTTTCTACGGCTCCTGAGTCCACCGATTTTCCATCTTCTTCTTCGGTTCCTCCTTCTTCTGCGGCAGTACCTCCTCCTCCTCCTGAGTCGGCTCCTTCTGCGTCTGCTCCCATCGACTCATCAGTCACTCTCTTGGGACAGATGACTGTTCTTATTCGATCAACGGGCACGCATGATGGCGAAGATTACCCATCTACGTGCTACAATGGATCGACACACTACCGAGTTTGCTATTCTTTGGGGTGTTGTTTAATACTTACAGTGTTGGCTTTGATGGATTCGCCGCCATTGGGATGATGATCCTGATTCCGAGGAGAGGACGGATTTAGATGATGCTGCCGGTGTCTCTTAGCTCTAGGCTTCCTTTTGTCATTTTGTGACAAAAGGGGGTGTAGTTTTCGATGTGGCAGTATTAGTTTTTGATTTTTGTTGATAGGGAGAGAGTTGCTAGTAGATAATTTTGTTATGCTTACTTGATGTATTTATAGAATATCTGGATGTAATTAACCGTTTGGTATGTATATAACAATGGTATTTTTGACTCACATGTATATTTGTTTGGATTCAGTTCGCTAAATTAAGTTTTTGATGTTTTTACAATGTCAATATTTCGTTTTGGTATGTTGGGTTGCATTGATACCGTGTCTTAGTTTAACTTGTGATTTAAAATTGAAAAATATGCTAATTGAGTTATAATTGCTTAAATGACATCTACAAGTGAATTGTTTGAACTGCGATTAACTTTGATACTGTTTTCCACACATTTTACACTGGTATTTGAGTTGTCTATTCCAGAAAACAGGTACTACAAAGTTTTGTTCAAGACAGTTTATAATTTAGGTTATGTCATCATTTTGAGTCTGTAACTTATATTTTGTTACTGCCTTGACATAGATTAGTGTTTTGTCACAGAATACTAAAGGGGGAGTTTGTTAGGTTTTAGTTAGTTTTGTAATTGGCAAATTCTGTGGA